TTTTTTTTTTTTTCCCCCCCCGGGGGGGGGGGGATATTATGTATCCGCGGTGTACAAAAAAGACGGCGGGGTCAAAAAAAGCCGGTGACAGAAATCTTTTTTTTTTTTTTGGGTCACCCGGGGAAAAAACAAACTGAACAGGGGCACAGACACTCGCGTGATAAGCAACAACACAGTACAGAGCAAAACACACGTGCCCGTAGGCAACAAGAGGGGTTCTTGTGGTTAAGCAAGGGGGAAAACAAGAGACAAGGGCGAGCGACGCTACATACGTCGAAGGTGTCGTCGCGTAGCAGTCCCTGATACTGCGCATATTCTCGAGATGGACTGGACACAACAGTGTATTTGTCATCCGGCATCGATGCGAAGTATTAGTCCTTCAAATGACCGTGCCCGGAGCGATACGAATACGTTTAACCCAGGCCCTGCTGCATTCCTGTCACCCCCCGAAGTTGCTGTTGATGCTGACAGGCAGGTCCTGCCTGCTGAGTCACAGCATTGACCTCCCTTCTTCACGACACCACAACTTTGCATTCACCTCTTTTGTGTTCTGGAATGTTCACGTGATTTCCCTCCGACCTGTTGCACCTGCAGTGTTTAGCTTGTGTGGTTGCTCGATGTTACATGCTCTTGCATAACACACCACATAACCACACAACTCTCAACAAACACACTACACAAGTCTGCAACAACAGCACCACCACCATGAGTATTCAACAGTTGTGGCCCCTGTGTTCTGGTTGTCGAAGCGTCAACGTCTCGTGACGTTGTCATCAGCCGAGTCTGAATATGTCGGTATGACAGAAGCAGCAAAGCAGGCACTATGGGTGAGGAACCTGTGCGCCGAGCTGTGTTACGAACAAGAGAGCATCAGTCTCAACATGGACTCCCAGCCAGTTCTAGCACTCGCCAACAACACAAGCTCACGCCACGTACCAAGCATCTTGGAATCAGTATGTACTACATACGACAGCAAGTGCAGGAAGGGAACATCAAGTTGGCGTACCTGATGACGACGGAACAGCCAGCAACACCACCACCACCACCACCACGAATGTTCAACGCTTGCACTGCCAACCTTTCATTTGCTTTCATATTGTTGTGACAAGTCACTGCGTACTTTACATTACCCAAATCTACGACATTGGTTGACGATGTGCAGTAGTGTTCGCTGGGCTCATGCGCCATGATCACCCTCCTTGTTGAAAACGTACCCGCGTTTAATGCAGAATAAAGAAAGAAAGAACGCAGAACAAATCACCAGCGGACCGCCATGAAAATAAAAATAGCACATCGTCCTATTTTCAAGATTGTGTGTGTGTGTGTGTGTGTGTGTGTGTGTGTGTGTGTGTGTGTGTGTGTGTGTGTGTGTGTGTGTGTGTGTGCTTGTGTGTGTGTGTGTGTGTGTGTGTGTGTGTGTGTGTGTGTGTGTGTGTGTGTGTGCGTGTGTGTGTCTCTGTCTCTCTCTGTCTCTCTCTGTGTGTGTGTTTGCGTGTCTGTGTCCGTGTGTGTTCCCACCACGTATCGGCCCCGAAAATGAGCGTTGCGTTGCATCACTGCTGCTTGAAGTTAGACAGTAGACACGAGTTGAATCCTTCGAAACGATCAGTGCCAGCAGTGGTTTCGCACCTCAATGATGATGTCTAGCAGGCGTAATCGGGTTCAACACACACACACGCACACACAGACACACAGACACACACAGATCAACTAGTCATTGCAGTCACAATCAATGTTACAGTCACAGTCAAGGTCGGGGCACTGGCAAGCACAATCAACATCGGGGCAGTGGAGACGAGGTGACAATGTTTGCTTTTTCTTGACTGTATCGTGACCAATAGTCGAGGAGGGAGCAGTACAGACTTTTGATTGCGTGAACGGCAAAGTGCTGACATTCACACCACAAGGAACAAGCCCAAGCAAAGGAGCGCTCAACGGACCCACGAAAAGAAGAAGAAGAAGAAGAAGAAGAAGAAGAAGAAGAAGAACAAGAACAAGAAGAAGAAGAAGAAGAAGAAGAAGAAGAACAAGAAGAAGAACAAGAACAAGAAGAAGAAGAAGAAGAAGAAGAAGAAGAACAAGAAGAAGAAGAAGAAGAAGAAGAAGAAGAAGAAGAAGAAGAAGAAGAAGAAGAAGAAGAAGAAGAACAACAACAACAACAACAACAACAACAACTTAAACAACTTAAACAACAACAACAACTTAAACAACAACTACAACTTAAACAACAACTGCCACATCACTCCTCCTCATGTTGTGGTGGCAACACGGGCAGGAGAACGTGCTGCTGGGTGAAGATGGGGTCCACAATCACAGCCGCGCTGGCCTTGCGTTCAGCAGGATCAAGCACAACGTACATGAGCGCAAAACGCTGGCGTTGTTCGACTGCGCACGCCACCTCTGCAAAATACACATGCATACATCACAGAATATGTGGGTGAATGATCCAAGAGAGGAAATGTGTTGTCAAGCGGTCAAGCAAACGCGCACACAATCACGCAGTGGTGAGCACAGCCAAATGAAAGTGTACACACATACACACACACACGCACGCACACACCCACGCACGCACCCACGCACGCACACACACACACACACGAATTACACACACACACACACACACACACACACACACACACACACACAAGCAACACAGCTTTGCGTACCGTAAGATGACACGCGCACTGAGTTCTTTGGACCAACGGTGGTTTTCACTTCCACGTACACTTTCTCGGTGCCTGCAGCATACACAACAAGCAAGCACAGTATCACAGTCAGGTCATACAATTCACGCTCCTCCTTATTAATGTGTACGCCCGTACGGCAACGATCAACGATGTACATACACACCTTCTTTCGCTGTGCCAAGAATGTCGAAAGGCTCTCCCGTCTCCTTTTGTTCGTTCATCCACTGCCAATCATATGCGTTGGCATCAGCGAGCAGCTGGTGGCCGTTCTCTGCAATCAACAGGCGGTATGCCGTGTCCTCTCCTGCTCGACCAACCGTCCGCACAAAGTCCTCGTCGTGTTCATCGTCATCCTCCGGCAGCTGAGCGACACACATACACACACCAACAAGGGTTGCAAACAACCACCAGGGGATCAAGACGAGTGAGATACGACACACACACACACACACACACACACACACACACACACACACACACACACACACACACACACACACACACACACACACACACACGCACACGCGCTGGTCGAGGGAGTGGATAAAGGCCATGCCGCTGGCAACATCAAAGGCCAGGCGAAGCTTGAGCCCAAGCACGGTGGTGACGGTGGTGTTGACGGGACCAAAGCCGCCACCGCCGCCGCCAATGGCGCTGTCGATGAGCACTTGCTCGCACCTCACGAAAACGCGCGACTGCTGTCCAGTCAATTTCGGGCGAGACCATGTGTGCTTCGATGGGCGATGTCGATGACGATGACAGCGCCTGCACGTGCTTGCGCAACACGTCTGCCAAGTCGCTCCGCAGGAGGTCTCGCATGGAGCCAAACGGTACAAACTCCAGCACAAGGAACGGCAACCCCGTGGGGGTGGTGCCCGCACCAAAGAAGCGCACGACATTTGGATGTCGCGTGCGCTGCAGAAACTTCACCTCCGTGTCAAACTCCTGCCGCTGCGCCGCGTCAAAGAAGCCCACGTTCTGCCGCAGCACCTTCAGCGCCACCGTGATGCCGTCCCACTCGGCCTCCCACACCTCCCCAGACGCGCCGTGTGCGATGCGGCGAAGCGGGTGCATCTCGCCATAGCCAATCTTCCTTGCCTCCTCCAGGGCCAGCACGTCGGCCTGCTCGGCCT